TAGTAACATGCACTGCCTTATATAGAAGTTATTAGTAACATGCACTGCCTTATACAGAAGTTATTAGTAACATGCACTGCCTTATACAGAAGTTATTAGTAACATGCACTGCCTTATACAGAAGTTGTTAGTGACATGCACTGGCTTATACAGAAGTTGTTAGTGACATGCACTGGTTTGTACAGAAGTTATTAGTATCATGCACTGGTTTATACAGAAGTTACTGGTAACATGCACTGACTTTACAGAAGTTACTGGTAACATGCACTGACTTATACAGAAGTTACTGGTAACATGCACTGACTTATACAGAAGTTACTGGTAACATGCACTGACTTATACAGAAGTTACTGGTAACATGCACTGACTTATACAGAAGTTACTGGTAACATGCACTGACTTATACAGAAGTTATTAGTAACATGCACTGACTTATACAGAAGTTAGTATCACTAACATACACTTGATTTATACAGAAGTTAGTATTAGTAATAAGATTTACTTTTCTGTGTTATTAGGAAACTCAACAGGTAATCTCTTTAGGCTATAAAGAAAGTGAAATGATAAATATCTTAAAAGGAGGTTGGCATTTGAACATCTGTACTACTTATTACATAGAAGAGCAAAAGGCCTTCTTGTAAAAATTAACTAGCAGTAGTTGTGAGATGCCATTTCCTAAAATTAATACTGAATTTTTTATCAAAATGAAATAATTCAGACAGGGTAGACATAGTTGGTTTGTGAACTGTAACCCTAGAGCATCAGTGTTACGTCATTATGCCCCTATTCGATTTGATGTTAAAGATTGAAAATTTAATGCTAGCATTCTAAGGTTAATGGACGGTAAGTGCCTTTTGAATTTAAAGCAGTGAACGTTTCAACATCTCCACAGATGTCTTCTTTTTCATTCAACAGGCAGTTACAGTTCATTAAAATTTTCAAACCAAATAAAATTCTTAGCTTGATATCTTTTTTTACTAATTTATTTTCTTGCTTTGTTATTTGTTATTTTCTTGTAATTATACATTTTAATCAACTTGTGATAGGTTAAAGTAATATTTTTTTAAACCTAATAAGTTGGTGATTCTCCAGGAAAATGGGGAACACGGTCCATGTAAAGGAGGAGCCAAAATCTTCAGTTGATCAGTTACCTTCCTGTAGTGGTCGTGGACACCAGCCTAAAGAGGAATCCATTGTAGATGCAGCTTCAAGGATATTGGTAATCCTTAAACAGAAGCTAAATTTTGAACTTTAAGTATTTATTCTGATGTTTCTTGTCAGGATAGAAATTACTCTAGTGACATAAAACTGCTTGTTCACATGATTAAAATTGCTGTGTTTTAGTGGCATACAGCATTTAGTTCTCAGTCTTTAAATTAGTGAAGTGACTTGCATCTTTTGGTTTTAAGTCTTGAAATTATTCTAGCGTAGTGGTATATGATTGACCTTGTATATTACTGCAATATTGAGTGTACAGTGAGTTTTTATGAATTTAGATGAGAACACAGACATATGACTTGATCTTGATGTGTGTCCTTACCTTCCTGACATTCTTGTGGTATAGTCCATGGACGTAACTGGTGTCATTATGAGGAATGTGGATGTAGACGTGTGACTTGATCCTGATGTGTGTGTCCTTACCTTCCTGTCATTCTTGTGGTATAGTCCATGGACATAACTGGTGTCATTATGAGGAATGTGGATGTAGACGTGCGACTTGATCCTGATGTGTGTGTCCTTACCTTCCTGTCATTCTTGTGGTATAGTCCATGGACGTAACTGGTGTCATTATGAGGAATGTGGATGTAGACGTGTGACTTGATCCTGATGTGTGTGTCCTTACTTTTTGGTGTTAATATGTTCTCCTGGTAAGAGGTAGAGATCACCTTTTTGTTTTTGTGTACTTCATTGAGTTTAAAATTACCGTTATATATAATAATTATTATCACCATAAAGTCTGACAAAAAATTTCTGTGTTTTTTGTCTCATATTTGAAAGTCATTATGAACTCTTTCTTGGTGGATAACACAAGCCTGCAAAATTAAAATTCATAAAAGTTCTTTTGGTTTTAATAACGGATTTTCCATAATTTATCTACGCAGATTTAAAAAATGATATTCATTTTTTCTATCACGTAAGGATTTTTTAAAAATTGGGACGAAAAGAAGAACTTTTACTTAGATCAAATCATTATTTCATTTACCATAGTATGGTAATACAATGAACAAAAATTAACAAAAGTACAAGCAAGATAAAGAAAAAGAAAGAACATTGATATCAAATGATATGCATCTTCATTCATTCTATTTTTTGTGTGAAATCTATGTCTTTTATTCTCAAACTATGTGTTGTGGTCTTTCTTTTATGTATTGCGTCTGGAGCATCTCATTTCAATAACCAGCAGTCATCAATCATCATGCTTATTTTCCACCTTCCCTGATGTCTTGATGAAACCTTTCTCTTTGTTCTTTGCACCGATATTTTCAGAGAAATAACCAATATGTGAGTGTAAGAAATGAACTTTCAAGCTCATATTACAACCCAACTATATGGATAATTTCGGTCCTTGTTGTTTTCTAAAAATTTGTCGATAACATCTTTAAAGGCAATCCGTGCTTGTTTTTCAACTTTCCTTATTGTTCTTTTGAACTTTTAATCTGAAGCCAATTTCCTAATCTGAGGCCCCACAAAAATTTCCCACAAATGTAACAGAATATGTTTGGGTCATTTACACAATCTCTTGTTGCCATAGTGATGAATAAATAATATTGAAATAAAAAAAAATTTAAAGTGCATGCACAAACAAATACTATCCAGAAATGACGTCATGTGGTCTGTTAACTGTTTATATACTAGAAGTGTTTCTCATGGGTTCTAGAATGATTAATATAACTATTGCATCACGATTGGTGTAGATAAATCTATAGCCAGTGGTTGTCAGCATTTTAACCATAACAAAATGGGACCTGATTTCAGTGAAAATGATTCACTTATGTAAAAGCACATGACATTTTGTGAAAAATCTGTACATGATGGGGAAAAATGGATTCATTTTTGGATTCAGCACTCAGGGATTACTGTAGAACATGTAAAACTTTCAAGACAATAAAACCATTGCAGGCATGTGTAATTGTCTGTTTCTTCTCATAACAATTCAGATATACATAGGCCTCAACAGACTTCTTCACCAGTATGTCAGCTTATGCAGCTTAGCGTTGGCAAGATGGTTGCTTGGATGTGTGCAGCTTAACATTTGCAAGACGGTTGCTTGGATGTGTGCAGCTTAACATTGGCAAGACGGTTGCTTGGATGTGTGCATCTTACTGCTGATCAGTTTCTCGAGCTATCAGTTGTACCTGTTGGTGCTAAACCTGTTGCAGTGGTCTGCATCTGTGACAATGCAACTACATTAGCACTTACAAATCCTTTACATAAACTTTGGTTAATCCTTGAGATAAGTGAATTATAAGGTACACAAGGCTAACGAACATTTCACCATGGTTATCTTGTTTGTTAATTGTTTGACATTTGCTGTTCAGGTTGATGTGAAACAGACTTTAATTTTATGTTTCTTGTAGGCCTTCTGAATGCTGTGTTTGAGTTTTGGTATGAATGGGAGTCTGATGTTGTAGTACAATTTTAATGGTAGTTTCTTGGTTGTTTCTTTGTACTGAGTTACCTGTTTCATTGTTTTTAAAGGTGGTTTTTAGGTGTTGTATTTCTATTAGTAGTGTAATTTTATTGGAAACATTTTATGCTCACTCGAACAAAAATGATTTTTTTTCTTTTTTTTTAACTGATTGTGTTTGGTTTGATACATAGCTGGCAATGTGAGTTGTTTGTCTGTAGATACTGATTAGTGGGTGATGGACTGCAATTTGTAGGAACAGAAATCTTTTGTCTTCTTGAAGTGTTCATACTGATTTTTATGTTTGGAATTCATATAGGATAAAAATTCTATTGGTTTAGTACTATGAGACCAAGATGACAAAAGTGACATTATTGTACCTTTACCACAGTTTGGGCTGTTTTGTAGAAGTGTTCAACACTTAATTTTCATATCTTCAAGAATGTATCATTTAGTATAGGAGAGAAAGATTAGACCTTTTCTTTAAAGATCTGGAAAATCCAAGTGGCCCGAAATATCATCTGAGCATAATATTTAAGGGAAAATGTCAGATAGTAAAAGTTTTCTCATTATGAAGTAATTTAACATGATTAATAATAAAGAGCTCTGATATTTAGAAATTAACTTTTTATTATTGGTAATTATCTTACACTTGTAATATTAAAATTTCCACTTATTGTTTTGTAGCTAAACCTGCTTGTTTATATTCAGTACAGATAATAGTGTTGATAGGATTGTAAAGATGTGGAAAAGCAGCTTAAACAAAAGTACAGACTTTACACAAGAATAGAAGTTGGAAAAAAAATTGTGTATTTATAATGTGAAAAAGCTGTCAGACAAAAAAATGGCAGTAGACCACTATTTAGATTCTTCACTATATTGTTTGTTTTAGAGTGAATTTGCTCATCAGTCTATAGGAAGTATTTTAAAAGATGGAGTAAAAGGAACAAGGGATGGAGGTTCAGCAGGAGAGAAGGTAAGTATAAAGTTAAGTGTACTCTCTCTAGTACAGAACCGGTAAGAAAAGTGACAGGAAGTATTTCCTCCATCCCTTGTTCCTTTTACTCCATGTTATATCGGCAGAAAAGTGTGAAGTTTTGGTGCACTGTGTAGTAAGAAACAGGATAATAGTGTTTACAATGCTCAACTAAGGGATAAAGTTGTGTTTCATGTATGATGTATGTGATAAAATTATTTGACTTTCGAAAGATTGTTTAGCAAAAACAAAAAGATGGATATAGATGGCATTGATTCTTTGATCTGCTGTATATGAAATGTGTATGTTTCTGGGTAATTATCATCTTTTATTAAGATCTTGAGATTTTTTCTTGATCAAACTTTTGATAAAGCAGTGTTATAAAATTATTATGAAATAGTGAATTTTTAAACTTATAGTATCAAGAAGTGTAAAAATCCATTGTTTTCATTTGTTGCTATATTACTTATTTTTCTTTTCCTTCCATAATGATGTTAACTTTTTTTTCTCTCCCCTAAAGTATTAGCAAAGCATTGAATCCACTACCATCAATAATGGAAATGGTGTAATATTTTATTCCTCTAGTGGATAAATTCATGCTTTGTGTATAAGGTGTATTTAAAACTTAGGCCTAATTATCAATTTTTAGGCACCTGTATTGTGATAGTTAAAAATATATAACAGTTATGAAATGCTGAATTTTTTTAAATTACTGTATAAAGAAGTGCAAAAATCAGCTGTCATCATATGTTGTTTTATAAAATTCTTGTTTGTATATGTGTGTCTAAGCTGCATTTTCTTTCACACAGTCTGTTAAATGTACAGCATCCATAATTAATACAGTGGGTACATTTGTGCTTCACGTAAAAAGCATAGGCCTAATTTTCGATTTTTATGTGCTTGTTGGACTTATATTGAGATGTAATTATATTCCATTATTTATAAGCCACAGAGAGGTGAAGAATTAACTCTCACTAAGGGATCAGTCAAATCTGCCTTGTTTGTGACCTCAAATTGACCTTTATAGTTTTAATACTATAATTTCTAATATGTTCTGTTTATCTTCACACAATTTCACAAGCTTTCAGTAAGATTATTTTGTAGAAAAAATTTTTAATGAAGTATTTTCACTAAAATGTTTTTCTTTAATATGTGGAGTCAAAGTGTTAACTGCTCTGAGTGTAAAGTGAGTTTCATGTTAAGACTAAAAATGCTTTTCATGACCTAAAGATTATCAAATTTCATTTGCACAACCTCTAAAACCTCTTAAATATATTTCAAATGTTTTTTTTTCAGTAAAACTTTATATTTTATCCCTTTTTTTGTATATCCTAACTCTATATGAGGTCAATCAATTTTCTTAACCGCCATAAAAAAAAATGAAATAAATCTAAATTACCCTTTTTTTCTTTCTATAATGACTTTAGATTGTAACATGAAACTACATGTGTTTTTCCAAAGTAGCTTAAATCTCATAACAGTATACACATGTTTCTACTTAAGTATGTAAGTAATAATCCCCACACACAAGTTGTAACTTATGTGCCAAACGTGTAGCTTACGTTACCCTATTGAATTACATAAGACAGGCTACTTGCGAGTGTATCTTGTGAAAAGTTTTTATTTTTTTCTTTATCTTGCCTAATCTAACCTTCTCTAATGTAATAAATTTCTAATTTTTGAATTTTAGTTATTTTATAATAATAAGTAAAGAATACACATGAATAACAAAAAATTAATACTTACCTGGATCTTTTTTTTGTTGTTGTTGTCAACTGTCAATGAAACTTAACCCTACTTTTTTATATATATTTTTTTATTTAATTAAATAATATGCCAAAGAACAGAGAACAATAACATACAAAAAACAAACAGTGTCCTATAACTATTGTTGTTTTTCTGACTTTTTAACTATGTGATAAGAGCCATTAAAAACTCGCCTAAGCTCATCAGTGTGTTTCCTGTGGGCATAAAGTTTGTGCTGGAAGGGAATAGACAATCCTTTGTACAGAAAACAATATAATATATCATTTATTAGATTAACACTTTGGCTTTCTGTTGGTTATAAATAATATAGTATTAAATATCAGAGAGAACTATTAGCAATTTGTGAAGGAGAGGATGTGACAGGTGGGTGTGGCAAGAGAGCTCTAAGTTTCTACTTCATGCCTCTGTAACCAAATGCGATTAAAGGCTATAAAAATTATGCTTTGTCTGAGTAATGACAACATTATAACAAGTAATTTACGTTAAATTTCGTACTTCTCGGAGGAGTAGTAAGTAAACTACAGAAGAGGGGATACCTAACTAGCAAATGTCACAATTCTCATACTAAGGTGAGATTGAAAATTTTAAAAAATATTTCCTTATAAAATTAACTTGTATTAAAAGTATATATATTAACAACATTTTTATGCGAAGTTTATTCCTATACCATGATAATAAAATAGTTCATTCAAATTTTGAATGTAACTTTCTAAAATGTAGTGGTGTGCACTTTGACCTGCTCTTAGTGAGAGGGTTAATGTGTTTCCTTGTGTGTTTATACTACTGAAGTAATTGTCTTCAAATTTAATCTTAGTTTTGCACTAGTTTCAATGTGAAAGTACCATTGTACAATCAGCAAATATGAATATTGTGTTTTGGGGATTCTTACAATTTATTTCAAAGCACCTTAAAACACTGTAGCAATCAAGGATCCATACATTTATTTTAAAGCACCTTAAAACACTAGCAATCAAGGATCCATACATTTTATTTTAAAGCACCTTAAAACACTAGCAATCAAGGATCCATATATTCTTACAATTTATTTCAAAGCACCTTAAAACACTGTAGCAACCAAGGATCCATAGATTCTTACATTTAATTTTAAAACGCTTTAGCAACTAAGGACTCATGGATTCATACATTGTGTTCCAAAATGATGGCACTTATTTTTCACTGCATCTATAACTTATAAAATCTCCTCTATAACTTGTGGAGTCACCCCTGTAATTTATGACCTCACCCTATGCCCCTTGCAAGAAGTACTTATAACAGAGCTTAACCCAATAATGATGACATCCTTCAAAGTGAAAAATGATATGTAACTATTGTTAAATTTCTTTCCAATAATAAAACCATTGGATAAATTGTGTAAAATTTTTAGAGTAGTTAAAGTGTAATGTAATAACTTTTACGAGACTGGTTGATTAATGTTACCTGAAGAGTAATGTACAAGTAGTTAAAGTGTAATGTAATAACTTTTACGAGACCGGTTGATTAATGTTACCTGAAGAGTAATGTACGAGTAGTTAAAGTGTAATGTAATAACTTTTACGAGACCGGTTGATTAATGTTACCTGAAGAGTAATGTACGAGTAGTTAAAGTGTAATGTAATAACTTTTATGAGACCAGTTGATTAATGTTACCTGAAGAGTAATGTACAAGTAGTTAAAGTGTAATGTAATAACTTTTACGAGACCGGTTGATTAATGTTACCTGTAGAGTAATGTATGTGTAGTTAAAATGCAACTTGTTTAAAACTTGACAAGATCTTTCATAAAAGTAAGTAGTTTGAGAAAAATATAATAATTTTTTTTTCCTGCTATTTCTAATAGAAATTCGTTATTTAATATAGTTATTTGCACTCAAACTCTGAATAGTTCACCTACAAGGTGATTTTCAATTTAAGTATTTAATATACTATTTATTATATAACAGTTTTCACATTTCACTTGCATAATCTCTAGAACCTTCTAAATGAGAAATGAAAATTAAGAAATGCAAATATGTACATACCTTTTAACTCTTCTTTGAATAATCTTAAAATATCTTCTTTGGGTCATCTGCATAATATCGCATCTTTAACTTTTTTACTTATAGTTAATTTTTAATGTTTTATTTTTCTTTTCTACTCTTTACTGTTGATTATTTATGCCAACACACATCAACAGGTACCCGTAGGTGATAGAACAGTATGAACTCAAGATACCTTAGTCTCGGGCAGAATCCTGTTATACACTCTTGGTAATGAATCCTTGCAGAATGAGGGGAAGCTGTGGTTATTTTATAAAAATTATTAAACCTTTCAAATACGAATTGCAAAACAAATAATGCATAATTAACTAAAATATTAAAATAAAACCTAAATACAACTTAATTGTCTCTCTAAGTATGACATATTTAGGTAAGAAGTGCTATTGTGAACAAAGCAGCCAAAAATACTAAAAGTAATCACACCTACCCGAGGATGACAGCTTGGTGCCAATTTCAAAGTAACTTGTTGGATTATAGTGTAAAATGAGCTCTTTCTGATGACTATAAACATGTACATGTTGAAGTACATATAACTTCTATCAATTTTAAACTATAGAAAGTGGGTGTGGCACCTGTCAGGAGTTGACAAAATTTATTTCTTGTTTCAACTCCATTCAGCAAAGTACTTTGAACCATACATGTCAAACGGGCAACTAGGCTACATTCTCATCTAGACTTGCTTGTACTTGACTATCGCCTTATGTTTCAAGCTATACTTTACCAAATTTCAACATTGTTTATAGCTAGTGCATAACGTGACACAAACCTATGTTTCTTTTAAAATAAGATGATATAAAACTTTGAACTATAATGTACTTAATAATAATTAATTAAAATATATTGATAGTCAAGTAGTTTAATTAAATTTTGAATGTAACTCGATGGCATGTGCAGAAAGGAGTTTAAAAATTGGGTCATTGTCATAGGATTAAGGGACACAATGGTACTTGCAGTAAAGTTATGGTGGTCAAATTTTCTTGGTTATTGGTCTGTAAAAACACCCCTTTTCTTATTACTAAATCCAAATTATTTTACATCATACGTTTTGGCCAGTAATATTCTCTTATCTTCAGGTGAATTCATGAAAAGGACTGTATGAGTTGGTAGGATTCAACCCTGGGTAGTCTTATTAGAAAGGTAGGTTGTGCTGTCTTCTCATGTGGGCTTTCAACTGGTTTCACTGTCCTCTACTCTAAGT